AAAAAAAAAAAGTGATAGCATGACTTTATGTCTGCAGATTGAGCTACGAGAACGAGAAATAGAGCGACTGTCAGTTGCTTTGGATGGTGGCCGCTCCCCGGATGTCCTGTCTCTGGAGACTAGAAATAAAACCAATGAAAAGCTGATTGCTCATTTAAATGTGCAGGTAATGGCTCTTACCATTATGTCACTGTGTATATAAAACCCTAGGTGTTTATAATGGTCTCTGGGTTTGTGAAAGTGACAAGGCTGTCCACTAAGGTATTATTTACAGTGGGAAAAAAATTGGTAGAGCCCAAGTATCTAGAAATAGGGTGCAACTATTGAAGAATCTTGTTCTTAAAGAGTATTTAGTGAGGCAGCCATTAAGACACACCATAATGTTAAAAATTATTTATAATAAGCTGTGGGCACAGTGTGGCCTTCAGTTTGGTTCTTTAAAACTCTAACAGTTTATTTTGTAATACTAAAAGGCGGTTTTTAATATATAAACAAATTATATATTATTTACATATACAAATTGTATGGGAATATATATGTTATAAACCTGAAACTTTTATTTACCCACGCCATGCATTTGACCTAAGGTTGAAAGAGCATGAGAGTTCTACACTGTATGACACTTGACCTTTAGACAGTTAGATATGTCAGCACTGCCTCAACTGTAAGCAGAGTACAGTGAGCACTAAGACTGTGTTGTCCAATAGAAATGTGATGTGAGCCAAATATATGATTTAAAATTTTCAGCTAGCCATTTAAAAAATAGTAAAGAGGTGCATTTAATTCTAATAATGTATTTACTGTAGTATATCCAGAATCTCATTTCAGTGTGTAATCTTTTTATTCTTTTTTCCTTAATCAGGACTTTGAAATATTGTGTATAATTTACATTTGTTAGAGCATCTCGTTTGGGATTAGCTGGATTTCAAGTGCCCAGTAGCCACATGTAGATGATAGTGGCTACTATATTTTATTTTATTTGGGGGGGGGGGTACCGGGGATCGAACTCGGGACCTTGCTCTGTCAAGGCAGGCGGTGGAACCACTGAGCTAAATCCCTGGCCCTAATCATTGTAGCTTTATAGTGTACAGTAACTTCAGGTCTGGGATTGTGATGCTATTTTCATTTTGTTACCTAGGATTGCTTTCACTACTCTGGGTCTCTTTTGAGTCCATGTAAATTTTAAAATTGTTCTCTCTAGTTCTGTGAGAAATGCTATTGGTATTTTGATTGGGATTGCATTAAATCTGTATATCAGTTTTGGATGTATAGTCACTTTGATTATGTTGCTTCTACCATTCAGGTTTGGGAGATATTTTCCATTTTTTGATGTCTTCCTTGACTTCCTTTTTCAGTCTGATGTAATTTTCATTGTAGAGGTCTTTCACTTCCTCAGGTTAATACCTAAGTACTTAATTTTTTGATGTTGTGAATGGTACTGTTTTCCTAACTGCTTTTTCAGTGAGTTCATTTTAGTGTATAGGAATGTTATTGATTTTTGTGTTTTGTGTCCTGCTACATTGCTGAATTTGGTTATCGATTCTAAGAGTCTTTTGATGGAGTTTTTTGGGTCCTGTAAATAAAGGATAATGTCATCTCCAAATAATGATACTTTGGCTTTGTCCTTTCCTGTACGTATCCCTTTTTCTTTCTCTTGCCTGATTGAAAAGCAGTCAGTCTGAATCCAGACTTTGCACTTTTAACCATAGTGCTTGCACAATGCAAGAATAAAAGTGCAAAAGGCAAAAGCTGCCCAGCAATGTCCTAGTACCTGACATAATTAAAAGCATCTTCACTGTAATAAAGATTAGAAAAGCTAGTTTTTTGCTTTGCTTTCTAACACATTAATCATGGGCTAAAAGGGAACAAAGCCATTTTAATAAATGATTTTTATTAAATGGATGCATTATAGAAATTTGCTTCCATTTCTCTCTGAAGCCCTTAGGTCAGTGCTACGCCGTGCATTCATATCGAATGCATTCACTGCAGTGCACACGGCAGACTTACGTGGTGCCAACTAATGCGTGCTCAGAATGGCAGCCAACAAACTTCTGTAAAGGATCAGAGAGAAAATATTTTATTCTTTGCAGGCTGAGAGACCAAAATCAAGATATAATGTAGGTATACTTAGGTAAAGAGAACAAATTTCCACCAACTTTTATTGACAAAATTAAAAATATTACTTAGTATAGCTTTTTCTGGTAATGTACTGTAGATTTATTAGTAAGAATGGAATTTTGGGGGGGAAGAGATAACATTTTCTCCCCAAAGTGCTGGTTTGCAGGCCCTTTTGTTACCTGTTAAGAACAGCACAGGGCGTCAAGCAATTTCCAATGATAACAGTGCATGGCTGTGTTTTTGTGGATCTGTGTTGGGGGACAGGTGTTTGATGCATCATCCCAAGAACCTGATGCAGTATCGGAGGCAGAGGCCTGCCTGCGGCTCACCTCCAGCCCACCACCTGCTTTTGTGTGGCCTGTGAGCCAGGAGGAACTTTTACAGACAAACATTCACAGTCAGCGTGATGACAGGGACCACTAACTTTGGACTCCAATTAAGTGAAATGTTATCTTTCCCTAAAGAATCCTGTTCTTCTGATTCGTAGATCCATATTACAAAAACCTGTACACTAAGTAATAACATTTTTGAATTTTTATCCTAACAATGGCTCAGCAATTGAAAAAGATTAAAAATTAAATAGATTTCAATGTATTTGCAAAGGTATTTTTGCCAATAAGAATTTGTGGAAATTTGTTTTCTTAACCCATTCACTAAGGGGCCAGACTTGCATGACTGTTTCATCAGGTGGCTTGAGCCGCTGGTGGGACTGTCTGTGCACCTAGAGGGCATCATGTGTGCACCACCAGTGCTTCAAGCCAGTGGGAATGCGCTAAGTCGTCTCCAGTGTGCATTTAAGTATATGTGCATACATGCTTATCTCCTAACTTGTGGACTTCACAGTATTTATTTGTATTAAATAAGTTAATCTAATAAGTAACTGATTTTCTTTCAAGTATAAAATTTTCTAGGAAACTAGCCAGGGTTTTTGTTTTTTAAATTTCACACATGCAGCCTGAAACGTATTCTTAAAATACATTTCCTGACTTGTGCTACGCCAGTCTCATCAGTTGCTGTTATGAAGTCTTGAGGCAGAGGCTATGATCTTGGAGGCCAGTGAAGAATATCTTCCCAGCCGTCTAGAACTCTGGGAGGCTGAGGCAGGAGGACTGCAACTTCCAGCCCAGCCTGGGCAAATCAGTGAGACCCTATCTCAAAATTTCATTTTATTTTATATTATATTTGTACTGGGGACCGAATTCAGGACCTCAAGCTTGCCAGGCAGGCACTGTGCCTCTGAGCTAAATCCCCAGCCCCCAAAATAAAATTTTAGAAAGTGGCTGGGGATATAGCTCAGAAGGCCCTGTGTTCAATTCCCAGTAATGCCGCCCACCAAGACTTCCTTCCCTTCCTGTCTGAGAAGGCTCCCCCTTAGTTTGCCATACAAGTAGCATCTATATCCCAGGAGGATTCAGGATTATATTTAGATATACTTGTAGTTTGTGGGGCTATTTTTTTTAACTTTATATGAACCTTGATGTTTGGGCCTTTGTACTTGTAAATGTTGTAAATGTCACTTATAAATGGTCAATATGCAATTATCGATTCTTTAACAATTCCTCCAAATCAAGTGTATCTCTTGATTTGGATACATATTAATTTGATCATTATCTCTAGGATGCCCTCACTTTATTGCCATAAGGGCCTTATTATAAGTTGCTTATTATATTTCATTATCTTTGGATGTGAAACTCATTTCAGATACAGACTACATTACAGTTCCTAGGCATAGAGGTCTAAATTGACCGACCAACCTTCCTTCCTCCCTTTTTGAGACAGGGTCTCACTTTGCAGTTCTGGCTGACCTTGAACTCACTATGTAGTCCAGGCTGGCCTGAAACTTGCCCTGATCCTCCTGCCTCAGCCTCCCAAGTGCTGGGATTACAGGCGTGTGCCACCACTCCCGCTTTAAACTGACTTTAAAACATGAATCAAATTCACTGGAGAAGCTGGGTGTGGCAGCATGTTTGTGATCCTGGCTATCCCGGAGGCTGAGGCAGGAGGGCCACTAGTTTGAGACAAACCTGGGTAATATAGTGACTTAGCAAGATCCTGTCTCAAGATAAGAATTAAAAAAGACTAGAGATTTAGCCTGATGTAAAAGCCCTGGGTTCCAACCCTTCCCCCTTTAGCATTTGGGAGACTTTTCATTAATAATGCTAATTATTGTTACTGGCTATGATGAACATTATAAACTGAATATGCAATAAGTTGAGAGTTTTTCAGATAATGTACTTTAAATTTGCAAAATTTCATGGAGTCTTTTTCAAAGCCAATATGATGAAATTGAAAGAAAAGTTTTCCTATAAAGAATACATAATTGGGGCATTGGGAGAGATTTCAATTAATATATATATTTTCTCAATTAATATTTTGATATTTGGCTATAGCTACTACCACAAAAAAAATCAATACATCTTTTTAAAAAAACCCAGTATCTCGTTTTCAAGTGTATGTTAAACACAGTAGCCACCCTTTGTATACAACCAAGGAGGATCCCAAAAAAGCAAAATAGAACAAAAATATGACTCTTGCTCATTGTTACTCCAAATGTTAAATACTAAGAGAAAGAAAATATATTAATTGTATTCCTCGTACTTAAGAAAATTCTATGATCCTTGTACAAAAATCTACAACATAGCCAGTATTTCATACCTCTAAGATTCCTTTCCTTTTCTTTTCTTCACTGTCTGTGAATCCACTTATTATTTGATAACAGTCTTTACAAACTTTGCTCCACTTTCCTCCGTCATACTCCAGTTGGGCTTTGTAGTCAGAACACTTCCAACAAACCACCTGAAATTTTAAAAGAGAAAAATGAAGAATGAATAATCATATTCAAACATTAGCAACAATCAACTATAGGTAATAAGGACAAAAAGTTAAATAGCAAAGGTCAATTTATTAGACTAAGAAACTCCCCATTGGACACAAGGGGCCCATAGCAAGGTGCTGGAGTGTTGTCTGCCCTGGGCTCCTTGGACCCTTTTCCACCAAGCTTCTAAAAGGCTCAGTCCACTTTGTTCTTCTGGATGCTCCATGAATACCTTTCCAAAATGAGCTTGTGATGTTCCCTGCCCCAGGCTCTACTCCACCCCATCCTTCTCAACCTGTCTTCCTCCAGTCCTCCCTACAGCAAGGAATGGCAAGGCCACCTAAGCAGTCATAGCAAGAAGGAATCATAGGAATCATTCTGGTGCTCCCTCACTTCAGTCCATTGGTTCACTACATCAAGTTTCACTGATCTACATCTAAACATTCTGTCAGACTGTGGATTTGTCTAGGTCACCCAAGTCCATGCTATCAGCGTTCTAGCTGGGACTGCTTTTCTGGCCTCCACACTGCTCCTCGGAACGGTCTTACTGGCTTCCAGGCCTGCACTCTTCTCCCCCACTCCAAGCTAATTTTCAAACAGGCCAGCTGCTCTTTTAAAAATGCTAACCCGATCTGTTCCTCTTCTGATTAAAATTCTTCAGTCTTTCCTTTGCTCCTGATTAAAGAACACATTGCTAATCACTCCCACAGAGTTCCGTATAATGGTTCCTTCCCTCTTCTTCCCCAGGGTCTGAATCTTCTGGAAATGCCATGGTCCCTTCCTCTCTCCTCAAGTTCAGTAATTCTTGCTCATCCTTCCATATTGGCTTGACTCTCACTTCCTCAAGGAAGATTCCTCCATCTTCCAGATGAGCACATGATTCCCATCCGTGTACTTTTATTCATAGCATTGACTACAGTTTTTAATTATATTCTTGTGTGGTTATTTCACAGTTTGTCTCCTTTATTAGGCTATAAAACAACAGAGGAGACTGTCCTTGGCTATTTTGCTTACCAGGCACATAGTGCACATTTATAGAATGCCGACAAGTAAACAGTCGTGTCAAGCAAACTCACTGGTAAATTTAAAAAGCTGTACTCTGACAAAGATCTTTGCTATCAATTTAATTTTGATTTGACTTACTGAGGAAGTTGTGTAAAGTCAGTGTTAAAACAAGAAGAGGCGGGAGTGTTGGTGCACATCTGTCAATCCTAGCACTCCGGGAGGCTGAGACAGAAAGATCCCAAGTCCCAGCCTGGCCTGGGCAACTTAGTGAGACCTCTTCTCAAGAATGAAAAGTATAGGGCCAGGGATTTAGCTCAGTGATTCCGCTGCCTGCCTCAAAACCACAAGGTTCCGAGTTCAATCCCCGGTACCAAAAAAAAAAAAGTATAAAAGGTTTAGACATATAGCTCAGTGCAAGCCTGGAGTTCAGTCCCCACTTCCAGGAAAAAAGAGAAAGAGGAAGAATAAGTCTGCAGTGTGAGAATTGTTAAACTAGGTGTGGTGGCACACACCTATAGTCTCAGCACTGGGGAGGCTAAGGCAGGAGGAGGATGGCAAGTTCAAGGACAGCCTGAACTACAGAGTGAGACATTAGATCGTGACACTGTAATGCCATTGCTGTGTTTACTCTTTTTTTTTTTTTGGTACCAGGGATCAAACTCGCGACCTTGCACTTGCAAGGCAGGCAGAAGAACCACTGAGCTAAATCCCTGCCTGCTGTGTTTGCTCTTAAGAGAAAGGGTATAAGGTATAATTTTCAATTTGATTGATAAAGTTCCCCCAAATTGCTGCTGCCTCTCTGTGGCTTCAAGTTTTGTTCCTCTTCACTCTATCTTAAACTCAGTTTGATGGCTGATCAAACCACACTCAGGTTATGTTTATACAAAGCATCGTTACTTTTCCATACAGTGATGCACTTATTAGTTAACTGGTAATCAGAAATATATTTTTGGATAAGTGTTATGGCTTGTGTTTAGATGTCCTCCCAAAGCCTCATGTGGTCTTAGGTGGAGCTTTCTCAGAGGTGGCTGAATCTAGAGTCTGTGATTGATTCATGGTACAGGGATTAAGGGAGTGAGTGGTACCTGCTTTAAGTAGTCTGGATAAAAGGGGCAGAAAGACACTGTTAAGGTCTCTTGTTGCTTTTGCTACTGTGTAGGCACCATAAACTATTTCTCCTCTTGATGCCCCTCTGCCAACCCACCCTGCCTTGGAGCCAGCTGACTATGAACTGAAATCTCTACAAACTGTGAGCTGAAATAAACCTTTCCTCCTTTAACTTTGGATGTTAGGTATTGTGTCTCAGCAAGGAGAAAAGTAACTAAGACAATAAGTAACTTAAAATTTCATAAGTAGCCATTGAACACAAACTTGTAAGAAAACTTGTAAGTTTGCAGAAGTCCTGAGGATATAGAAATACTGCAAAGTCATAAAATGGAATAGGCATTATTAATACCTTTTTGACTAAATAGCTACTCTGAGGATCTTTTTGCCATTAAATATAACTATATCCTGGATACTTTACTGCTTTCTTCATAGTAAAAAGGACTCCCCACACCTCCAGGAAAAAAACTCAATGAATAAACAAAAGAAAAACAATGAGCCAACAGTGTAATGGTAGCAAACAGAGCAATCTCAAAGTTTCTGTTTGCAGCCAGTGATTGTGGCTTTGAGGTCAATTTGACACCTAATCATTATGTAAAACTTTGGAAAGGAGGACAAGTGAGTATCAGCCAAATATCAACTCAGAATTAGAAGAAACAAAGTATGTCAGAATAAGCCACCAAGAACTAGTAATTACTACTAACAGACTTCCCTTGAAATTTCTTGAGATATTGGCATTACTAGATAGAAATTCTAAAATTATGTAAGAAATGTTTGAAAAAATAGTGGCCAACTACAAAAACTACCAAAAATTATCAGGCAGACTTGGAACTTTTGGGAAAAAAACAAATTAAAAATGTAAAAAATGGATAGGATAGCTGATTAGCTACAACTGAGAATAAAACAGATGAAAATGCATAAAATAATAATTTTTCTATTTTTCATGTCAGCTATTGACTATCATGTACTCAGTCATGCAAACCTTAATGTGGGGAGTTGTTCTTGACTTCTTGTCTTTCTCAACTCTGAACCAGCTCTTTCACTCTTCATCAGATCTTAGCATCTAGTGTAGCACATCTGGCTCTCAATGACCTGGTCTCTACTTTACTAGCCCCGCTCTTGCTGTTCTGTGCTTTGCACCTGTACCCACCCACCTATATCTCATGTGCACCTCAGGTCAAGTATGAGTCACCAGTCTCTCGGGGCAGCCACCCCTCTGGCCACCTGCCACCACCTGGGACCACAGCAATTGGTCTAGCTGCCCCTGCTCATCTCAGAGACCAGCAGAATTAGCACTATCATGGCTCATTTTCCAGGAGAAAGCGCGCTTCTCTGGTCACTTGGCTGGCTTCATCCTGCACATACTGCTCTGTGTATAATCTAGTGTAGCCCCCACTTCCACTTCTTCCCTGAAAACCCTCCCTCTGGGCCCTCTGGAATTCTCTCATTAGGACCAAACTCTGCTTCCTCAGGTGGAGGCTGCTTTTGCTCTCACCTCATCATCTGCCACTTCTCAGAACCTCAGGGCCAAGAGCTGGGATTTGTAACCCTTTGACTCTTTTCTTGCCTTCAAACATCCCTGGTACCTTTGAGGCCCATTGCCTGGTTCTGCCCACCTCCCCTACTGAGCTTTCCATCCCTCAGCATCTACTCCAACCCCATCAATCTGCAATTTATAGCTAATGGATTGTAGTTCACCACTCTACAGCAATGCCTGGTGACACCAACCTTCACCCTGACCCCTCTGATCTGGGAAGTCATTCTCTGGCAGTCTACTTAGCTGTCCATTCTCACAATCACCCACTGGACTGTGTTCTCACCAGAGACTGAGCCACATCTGGCATGCCAGGTTTAGACATCCATTCTTTGATTACCATCCCTCATATTTCTAGTTTGCTGGCCTGCAGTCCACTACCATGCAGCTTTGAAGGTGCACAAACCCTCTGCCTGCGGACTCCAGTACTTTCTCATTCCCATCATCCCTCTCTCCTGACCCCCCTCCCTTCATTAGCTAGGCTAGACTTCCTTATTTGTTATGAATCCTCCTATGCACACAGTTCCAGGTCTCTGCCCTGTCACCTGCCTTCAGTGGCCTGATTACTGCCACATGTTAGAGAAAATGACTGCCCTTTAAGTTTATAACCACAAACTTCTACTGGGATCACTGTTCTTGGGCCAGAGAAAATGTTTTGTACCTATTTAGTCTTCTTTCTTGAATCTCTCCACCGCCCCTTTCCTTCCTTCTCCACTTTCAGCTGACAACTGCCTAATACTTCAATAAAAATATAACGTGGAACCTTAAATGCCCTCAGTTCCCATCATGAAAACAAACAAAAAAGTCCACCCAACCCATCTCTATTTACATTTGCACCCATCTTTCCCCTTCTGCTATAATGGAGCACATTCCCCTCTCCACACCGAAAGCTGTGCCTCCACCAGTACTGTGGCTTCCATCTCTTTCTGTCTTCTCAGAGACATCAGCTCCCTATGGGATCCTGAGGCAAGAGGATCTTAAGTTCAAGCCCAGCCTGTGCAACTCAGCAAAGACCCTGTTTGTAAGCATAAAATAAGAAAGGGCTGGGGCATACACACCAGCTCCTCTGGTCCAGGTATGCCCTCACACATCACTCTCCAGCCATGAGACCTGGCATTCTCTCACCTGGAACAGGCCCCGCGCACTGCAGGCCTCAGGCCCAGACCCTCACCACCTGCAGTGTTCCTCCCCTCCTCTCTTCTGATGGTCAGGCTCTTTCTCACCTTTTGGGCATCAACACAAGTAGCAACCCCTCAGAGAATTTTTTTTTCTAACTGACATTGGTTCCAGATCCTCCTCCATGACCAATACTCTCAATTTGAACTTCTTGATTCCTTTCTCAGTCCATCAGTAGTTAATTTGAAATTCTTATTTGTCTCTTTGCTCCATTACAATGGAAGCTCTGTGAGGCCAAGGACCCTTCAGTTTACCCATTTCCCAGTCTCACATGTCCACAGGCTCGGCAGTGGTGCCGCCTCCGAGTCAGTGCGTTGAACGACTCTTTGCACTTCATACACATGGTCACTTCATTGTCTCGGATCCACCGTGGGGCTCTCTTCCCCAGCTCCGCGGTCTAGAAAGGAATGAAATTTAACTCTAATAGAAAAAAAAGTAGTTCCCTTTTATTTCTTCAAAAGCACTGTCACTCCACTGTGTAAGCCATGTTCTGAAACTCCAGAACCAGGAGAAAAAATAAAAATGTCAGAGAAGTTTAAGAAGCACGAAGGAGGTACTCACTACTGTATGCATCTAAGATTCTGTCTAAACAGTGCTGGCATTGCAAGGGGAAAAGGCTGGCTAATTAAATGATTAGAAAGGTCTTTTGGAAATGTAAAGAGATAAAAGAGCTTAAAGTTAAGAACTTAGTTTAACTTACAGAGACCTCAGAGTGAATGTCATTATCCTTTGCAATTGCATTTCTGAAGGTTTCATGCCTTTGATGAAAAGCATCAATAGTCTCTTGAAGGGCCTAAAATATAGATGAAATTCAAAGCACACTTTAAAGTATCACATGAAAATCAATGGACAGACTTTATTAAACAAATATCTATGATGGCAATCATCTTTAAAATTAATTTGTTCTGATGACTACATATTAAACAGAACAATATGTGCAAATTCATGCACTCATAGAGAGGTCACCAATAAAACAAAAATAGAAGTCAGGCTAAACCAAAAATAGAAGTAAAGCTTACCTTGATCCATTCTTCTTTGTCTTGCTCAGAACTAAAACAAAATTAAAGTAAATGCAGAGAACATTAATGAATTATACTTAGTGAATAAAACTATGCTTTAATTTTGTTCCTACTTCTTGGAAAATCCATGCAGGGAGGCCCTAGAAGGCACTACAATAAAAATTAAAATTAAACAGACTCTCTTGCAATTGAACAAATTCTTCTTAAACACAATATCAGACAATCTACTAACTTTGGTACCTGTAGGTTTTGATGGGGAATTACGTTAGCTTCCATTAGTACAGTGTCTATAAAAGACCACCATTAGCTGTGTCTGTCAAGTGTCTGTGTACACCTTACACACATTACAAATGCTTGTCTTTCAATTTCCTAAAACACATGAGGGCTGTTAAAGCCTACTTGGGACAGCCCATCTTAGAAAAAAAATTATGAGTCTTTGAGCATCTAAAATATCTTCCTAAGGCCTCGGAGGGCTACTTAACACTTCCTTTGAGAAACAATTTAACTTTATTTTCCTATTCCTAGGAGGCTTCAGCAATATCATTACTAACCCACTGTAAGTAAAACAGAACATACTGTGTAAGCATTTTCAGTGTCTGCAGGAAGGTTTCGCAGATCGATAAGACTCCAGGGTTTAGTAATTTTCCTCAGGGAGAAAATTTCCTTGCTGTGGTCAAGTTTCCTTTTTCCATTTAAGGCAAATTCTCTATTTCCTCTCCTTTCCAAGATGTATGTGTAGCTGGCTGTTGCCATATACTATATTTGAAATATCCCCTTAAGTAGACTTGGAACTGGGTAAGATCTCTAAATTCTGAATAGTATCAAAGAATGGCTTTGTTTGCTGTGGTTGGGAGATTAAAGCCAAGTGTGGCTTCTGACCTGAAAGTCACCTGCATCTTTCTGGTAGGAAAAGGTATGCATGAGACAGCAGGAGGCCTGTTCCTGTGGCACTATCCATCACTCCTGTATTTATCTTGGAGTACTGCGATGTGCCTGGAATGCCGTGCAGTCTGTCACAGGGAAGATCCTGCTTACTGCCCACAAGGGCCTTCAAATTTACCCCCTCAAAACCAAAACCAAACTAAAACAGCAACAACTTCCTACCGCTGCCACGCCCCACAGTACTGGTGCCCTGGAAGGATAGTTATTTGTTAACTGCTTTCAGTCTTTTAAATGCAGACATAGAACCTTGAGAAGACTTTACTAATGCCTTTTGTCTTAGTTTTTTAGTCATGGTAGGTTTTTCTAAGTGAGGGCCTCCAGCGCACCATCCTACATTTGGGGCTTGTGATCTGAGTGGCTGGGTCCTAAATCCCATCATGGGTTAGAATAACCAGGCCCTTCAGAGCAAGGGAGGGTTTCAATATATATCCTTTGTGAGAAATCAACGAAGTGGCTATTTCTTCAAACTCTTTCAGTCTGCCATACCCTCCCTAACTGTAATTGCACCCACTCTCTGATTCCTGGGCATGGATTCCTGATAAAATTATTTATTCTATTCTATTTTGAAAGTCTGAACATGAAGGTCTCAGGCAGTGATAAAATACAAATAACTGTGATGAATTTATTAGAGCAACCATAATTATGTGCCACCGTGCAAAGAAACAGAAAGCTCTCCAACCCTGCATGGTTCTCTGGTAGTGATACCTCTGGAACTGGGATTGGTACTTTATCACACTCAGATCTCAGACCTTCGGGACGTCCAAATTTTCACTATGCTCAGCCTCTTCAGGCTACACACATGGCTGCTTTCCAAAGCAAATTCTTTCAATACCCGGCAGCACCTTGTCTTCCAGAGGTCTAGGCCCAAGGAAGCCAGTCACAATTTGCAGTGACTCCACACAGCCCCCTAAGCATGGCTACGCTGGGGGAGCAGCAGCCCAGAACGCCAACCTCTTCCTGCTGAAACCATGAACACAGAAGAGCCATCTTCCAGAAGTCCTGACTGCCATCAGTTGACTGAATGCCAACTGTCTGGCTTTTTTTTTTTTTTTTTGCAGGGGTGGGTACTTCGGGATTGAATTTAGGACCTTGCACTTGCAAGGCAGACGAGGTGCCACTGAGCTAAATCCCTGGCCCTGAATGCCAACTGTCTAGAGTCCACTGCCCTGGGCGCTGTGGAGGAGCCAAAGCAGAGGAAGACGTGACATCTGCTCCATTTACACCTGAGCAGATTCCCAGATGTCTTCAGTAGTGACTTGGTGGAACCCTGTCCTAATACTTGTTTTGATGTTCTCAAAATGCTATGTGACAGGGAGGGTTCTCATACCTGGCCTGCAGTTCTAGCGTTCGCTCTTTCCCAGACACCTGGAAAGTATGTGGATATTCTTCATTGTGAGTCTCTATGATTTTCATTCCATCGATTCCAACCCTGTTCCGCACTGTGAATTTTGAGCCCACCAAGCTGAATCTGGGCACACAGTAGAGCAACATGTTGTTGAACTGCAAGGAGGCAAGACATATCAATAAACAGGAAAATAAAGAAGAAAAACTGACTGATACTACAAATAACCCTGGAAAGTCTATGGAATTTCCAGGGAATATGGTACTTCTTATGGAAACAAAAGTTACTACCACCTTGACATTTAAAAAATCATGATAGTCTAGGGCTGGGGATTTAGCTCAGTGGTTTCGCCGCCTGCTGCGCAAGTGCAAGGACCCAGGTTTGATTCCCGTACACCCCTCCCCGCCAAATCATGATAGTCTCAAAATTTTAAAAATATATTTTCCTTTCAGGGCTCAAAAATTTCACTAATGTTTATGTAAACCAACTACTTTTTTATACTAGTGCTTCAGCAACAATTTAGTAAGAATAAATTCGGTCAAAGTTTACTAAGGACCTTTGAAATACTGGCAACTGAAGTTGTTTTGTGTGTGTGTGTGTGTGTGTGTGTGTGTGTGTGTGTGTGTGTGTGGCACTGGGGATTGAACACAGGGCCTCATGCATGCTAAGCAAGCACTCTACCACCGAGCTAAATTCCCATCCCTGAACTGATGTTTTTTCAAAGTTAAAGTCCTTACATGCCATGATTTCTAATTATTGTGCCTGAGAGTACAAGTACACAATAGCTGTTAGCAGAGTAATATTTTTTACTACTGTTTCTTTCTTTTTTTTTTAAAGGAGCCAATACATTAATCCAAACTACTTTAGTACACTACACCTTATATAAAACAGTAAATCACATGGCCAAGATCTGTCTCTTTTCTCTTTTGGGTGGGGAGTTGGAGAGATGCAGGGTCTCACTATGTTGCCAGGTTGGTCTTGAACTCCTGGGCTCAAGTGATCCTCTTGCCTCAGCCTCCAGAGTACCTGGGATCATGGGTAGGTACTAGCACACCTGGGGGCCAACATCTCTATTTTATGAGGGATCTCAGTATTCTTCAAAAGTGCAGTACTATGAATCCTTGCATCTTATCACCTATGAAAAATTATAGAAAAGCCATCAATTTTATCAGGAGTTCTTTAAAGACAGGGCCTTACTTATGAAAATAAGATATACCTTTGATATGAGACTTTATTTTGATACTAAATCAAATTATGTACAGTGCCTCATTTTCTGGTCAATAATTAATAGTCTTTGCTAATTAGGACTACAAAAATACATTAAAAGGCTCGCATAATACAAATTTATTCACAATAACTTTATGAAAGCACTTATTTCATTTTGAGTGTGTGCAAAGAAATGCAACTAAAGATTTAGGTTAATTACTTCGAAATTATTACATTTTGAGTATATCTAGGGTTATATGTATCTTTCCAAGATAAAGAGTAATTAGGGATTACAAAAATGTATCTTATAAGATTATTTTTCCAACAGCATGTGCTTTAAATTCCAACATGATTTTTACTTCCAAGTTTCTCAATTTGTTATTTTTCAAACTTTCTGTGAAGCTTCACTTTAAGTAGGATTTCAGCTAAGTACTATTTATCAGTGCAGACTTGGAGGCCAGACTAAATACATGCACTCCCCCACCTACACACACACACACACAGCTTATAAGCTGTGTAAGCCCTCACTACTCAGGATCATTATCTACAAATGTCACAGGATGCTGAGAAGACTAAATCAGGAAGCAAAAGTGAAGTGTTTAGAACAGTGCTTTACATATAAAGTGCTTCAATTCAACAAGCTGTCTTGTTTTAGGCTCTTCTGGGGTTTGGTTCTAGATCTTTCCTGCCAGGCCCTCTGCTCAGCTCCATGCTGTCTTTCAAGACAGTAAGTGTCAATGGAGATTTAAAACATCCCAATGTGTTTATGTGGTTTTTTTTTTTTTTTTTTGGTACTGGGATCAAACTCGGGTCCTTGTGCTTGCGAGGCAGGCAGAGGCACCATGGAGCTAAATCCCCGGCCCAATGTGTTTATGTGACACGGACCATTGTACTCATGCTGAAAGCGTCTTTCTCCCCAGTTATTTCTCATTCATTGTTTCGTAACTTCCTATAACCACTGTAATAAATTTTAGTTCCATACTGGAGAATATAGAAATGAAAGCACTGAGTAAAATTTTAAAAGTATCTCAGATCACATATTGACCTTTCTGGAAATACCAATGCCTTTCACTGTCCATCTTGTTCAGAGAATGGCAATCACAGCCTCATGGTACATGAGATCCAAACGAACTCCCAAAGGCTCCCATCCCGATCCCAGCTTGCCTAAGGCATCATGCTTGCTAACTTTTCAAGCTAGTGTTTCTTTTCCTCTTCCTTCAAGGGCCCCTTAGGAGGTGACTTGGTCAACAATGCACATACTGCAGGGGCTGCAGAGCTACCACAAGGAACAGAGCTCATACTCTGAAGCCATCAACAGTAAAAGCTGTTGCTACACACAGAGTGACAAATGCAATGTCATGTCATAAAATGTCTGAGTCTTCTGATCCTTATGATCAATCTTGTTATTTTATAGATATGTAAGTACATGACCATGGAGGTTTCTAGCATTTGCCCTCTGTAGCTACTCTCACAGAAGATGTCAGACTATCTTGCAGATATGTTTCTCTTTCCTCCCATTCATGCTTTCCGGATGACATCCCAACTGTTTTATTCTTCCTTGGTAGAACTTCATATTCTAAACGCTCAGTAATTACGTATTAATCTTAAAGAATCCAGACTAATGCTAGTCAACACATATCTTTTATCATCTTTAAGAGTTGAAAGTGAGAGCTCTTACAGGATAGAAAATATTGCTTACAAAGAACAAGACACCATCTATGTAAAAATTACAGAGCAGGTAGGCCGGGGATTTAGCATTGCAAGTGCAAGGTCCTGAGTTCGATACCCTGTACCAAAAAAAAAATACAGAACAGGTAACTAAGTTCTCAGAACTGGTCCTGTTCTGAGAAACTTTCTTCTGTGGCAAGTCACCATCACCTTCACAAATAGTTTTCCGCATCTTTGGGTTTCCTTTAATACTGAAATTAGTCATTCCAGGGCTGGGATTTAGCTCAGTGGTTTCTCCACCTGCTGCGCAAGCACAAGGACCCAAGTTCGATCCCCGGTACCAAAAAAAAAAAAAAAAAAAAAGGTCATTCCACATATAGCACCAAGTGTATTGACTTTCTCTTTCACTATAGGAGATTGATTCCTTTTCTTCCATGCCCATAGCTCAGAAGTGGTGCTTGACCAAGCAATCTGCTACTGCAAGTCCTAGGTGGTGACAAAACCTAGAGAAAAGTCTCAGTCTTAAAGGGGTGTGGTCCCCTTTCCTGATCTTCAGTGTTCAAATATTTTACACCTCTTGCAAAATATTTATTTCACTGAAATAATTCAATTTTATGTTCTCACATAAAATTTTATGTTTTATGTGTTTTTTGTGTTTTTTTGGTACCGGGGATAGAACTTGGGACCTTGCGCTTTTGAGGCAGGCGCTGGAACCACTGAGCTAAATCCCCGGCCCAATTTTATGTTTTATGTTCTCTAAAATGTTTTATGAATATTTTAGAAGGCAATAGTACATTTCTAGAGGAAATTTACAGTGCCTGGTGTGTGTTCAAAGTTCAGATAAGTCAAAAGAAAAAGTCTGAGTCTTTTAGGCTGAAAGAAAATAAAGAACAGAACTACCAAAAAAGGCCCGGAATAAAAACTCTTTACTCATTCTGTGGGATAATTTAGTGTTGTGTGTTTTTTTAAAAACATTCAAATGCCAATATGGTGATTTAGTCAACAGAGAGCCCGACATTAACATAAAGTGAAATCGTACTGCATGAAGGAAAACAGATATGCAAACATGGGAAAATCATTTAAATGTAAAATTAGATTCAAAATATAATTTGGCTTTTCAGAGTAGGAAGTAGAAAACTAGCCCTCATTTTCTCCCTCGAGAGGGAGAAAAAAAGGTACTTGTGAAGTTGCTATGAATAGGACAAGTTGCTTCCGAGGATAAACGTGACAAATGTAATCTCAGAGAGGTTGGGGTCGGTGAATGAACGCCACACTGGAAATGCTTCCAAGACCGCTCTGAAGGGGGATGCAGCTTTCCTGCAGTGGACCCTGCTGCGGGAGGCACTGGTGCGACAGCTTTGAGAGCTGGTAGTAAGTGAACTGGAACACGATGGCTCTCGCCCTCAGCGTCACTGACTGCTGTGTCCCCCAAAGGCTCTTTGCAGTCACTACCAAATACTGGCTTAGGAGAGTCGACCTAAAACGATTTCCAGAATAATTCTCGAGTGTGAAATTTAAACCAACACAGTTGGTCAGACACAGAAGGAGGTTTTGAACCTAAGACATTTATCCTGAGCCCCAACCTTTTTACATTTTGAGAGGGGGGCCTCAAAATGCCCAGGCTGGGTTAAAATTTGCAGTGCTCCTACCTCAGTCTCTCAAATGCTGGGATTACAGAAGTGCCCTACCATGCCCACTCAGAACTAAAAGTTTAACTATAGACACTCTCACACTAATAAGAAAGAAGAGAAAGGAAAAAACTCAACATCCATGATATAAACACAGGGCAGATGTGGATTCCCAGGGATTGGGGCTGGTATGATGCTTTTTACTCTGTATCTCTCAGGCTTTGACATCTCCAGGCTTTGCTGACTCTGATGAGACTGATACTTCCAGGGTTACTCTATTCCTTGAGATACTAAATGACTCCCTTGTGAGCACATCCTCCTTACAGAGGCCAACCAATCCAGAGCCAACAGCCTCAACTACTCCCTGGATCAACCTGGGCCACTACTTCCCTGCCCTTATCACCTCAAGGCCAGGTGCCAGACAGCAGCCCTAAGCCCCAGAGCCCACTGAGGTTGGTCAAACTATGCATCCTACACCTTCACTCTGCCTACCTGAAAGTCTCCTGCCTGCCCCTCTGCTGCCTCACTGACCCAGGGGCTTCCCTGCTGCTCCCTCCCCAAGGGAGGCATAGCCCCTCCTCTTGGGGTCTGTTTTTCAATGGCATCAGTCTCCTTACCATGCCCAAGTAGTACTAAACCTATATTTAATAACAGACTTCTGGGTAGAGCTCTGAATCCTGACGTGAGTACAGCATATCCTTGTTTTGTTTAGTTCTCTTTAGCTCAGATGAAGATTTTCAGAGTTAACTTGGACAATACCTATACATTTGGGGGGGTGGTGGCTGGGGCTTGAACCTAGGGTCTTCACACTAAGCCCTTTTTTATTTTGAGACAGTCTCTCTCCGAGTCCCTAAATTGCCCTAGCTGGGCTCAAACTTGTGATCCTCCTGCCTTAGCTCTCACAGTGCTGGGATTACAAGTGTATGCCATGCTCAGCTAAAAACCTTGTGTGGTGCCCCGCCCGCCCCGGCCTAGGGAAACACTAATTACATCCCATCTCTATGTATATGCACATTCTGAACATTTCCTACACAGTGGTACCTGGTTTACAAACTGTTCTCTCCTTGATTCTGGTTGCAAAACGAATTGGATGAGAACTGAATCAAATGTCCCCAAAAGGTCAACACTGAACCTAAACACTGAATTTGATTCGGTTCTCATCCAATTCGGTTTGTGACTGGAATCGTGGAAAGAATTTAATTTGTGATCCGAGGCACACCAGACTCATGCAGGATGTGGCCTTTTGTGACTGGCCTCTTTCACATGGCCACATTTTCCTTTTTGTTGACGTATAATAGTCCACTGCAAGATACACCACATTTTAGGTTGTGTACTCTTTTTTTTTGTTATTACAAATACTGCTGCAATAAAACATCAATTTACAAGATACATATATATATATATATTTTTTTGTCTGGTTTTTTTGTTAAAGTGGAACCACTGGGTCACATGGTAACCAAATGTTCTTTTTCAAAGATGACCAAGAGATACCAAGCATTTGTCTTCTTGACCATTAGTTCCTATAAAGTTCCCTTTCAAAGAAGGCTGGCAAAGGCTAAGAGCAATCTCTCAGGCCCCAGGACAGCTCTTGTTACAGCTGGTGAAATGCCTGCCTGGCTGCCACAAAGCCAGTCCTTAGGCCCTTTGACCACCGTGTCTGTCTCCTGGTCTGTAGCAACAATCTTAGCAACAGCTAACCTTTATTTTTTTAAATTTTTTTATTTTTTTTGGTACCGGGGATCGAACTCGGGTCCTTGTGCTTGCACAGCCAGCAGGTGGCGAAACCACTGAGCTAAATCCCCGGCCCAAGCTAACCTTTATTGACATCTTCTGGTAGCTTACTCTTTGCCAATGCCAGCCAGTATTATAACTCTATCATATTATTAGATATAAAAGAATTAGAATGAATTAGTATAACAAAAAATAAAGGTCACATGGACAGAGACTAAAAAACAATGGCCTAGATGCCCTAGGAAGAGCTCTTACATTTGAGATAAGCCCTAGATTGTCATTTCCCAGAAGTGAGGAAGGGACAGGATCCATAGCAGTGAAAAGGCGCAAACTAATGTATTTCCCCATAGATATTTTAAACCCAACTCTTACAATCATGTCCATAGGTTTTGTTTTTTTTTAACTGTAGAATGACTAAAAATAGTGATTACAGGGGATTGGGAAAACTGTTGCCGGAAATAGTATGCCAACAAGATATACAGGAAATGGTACTCATTAGTCTGTGAGGAATGAAAGCAAAAGAGAAAACTGGAAACAAACAGGAGGGTTTCAGAAAGTACATCACACCCCACATACACACGCTTGGCCCCACTATCGGCCATACCATGCCCGTTAGGTAACTTCCAGTTACTTAGAATATTGTCGTATGTGGAGTCCTGCCAGTGTTGGTTAAGCCAGGTTAGATGTAATTACTTTGGAGAATGAGCAAGCATCGTACTTTTCCAAGATGTATACAACAATTTTAGCAAATTACTCTTATGCAACTATGACAATCATACTCACTAAGAACAGGTAGCGTTCTTGTGCTGATGTGTTGCGAGCAGCTAGTTTGAGTATCTGTCCCTCTTTTATTAGTTCATTTGAAGGATTGACAATGTCTTCTTCTTCTCCCAACATTTCATAAATCTCTAAGAGTTTCTTTAGGTTTTCCTGGAAAATTAAAACAAAAGACACCAAGACCAAATACATGGCAGTTTCAACTTAGTGACTGGAATTGTACTATGTCCTTAGCTCAAATGTACATCATTCAGAAAGGACTGGGAGTAAGCACAGGTTTGGGTGTAGAATACATCAGTGAACTGAACCCTAAGAGAAAAGGGGAGAGGATTACTCCACATGACACTAGACATGTGTAAACATTTGTTTTTGCTCATCTATATCCATTTACTTTGGTCCAGACCTACAGATAGTATTAGGTTATGTTACTGACAATGTCTAGCCTGAAGGCTTCTCTTGCCTCTAGAAACCACTTACCATTTTTCTTATTGCACTATTAGAATGACTTGCTGCTGTAGATATAATTTCAAGTGATTCTAAATGGGAAAAAAAGAAAAGTAAATAAATATGCTTTGTCCTTCCTGTGCTGCTAGGTAACTGAATAATTTACATACTAAAATAAGAAATCTGAGACCAAAGACACAATGAAAGTAGCAGCAATTTCCATTTACAAACTAAACACTTTCAAAAACTCATCTGTAAGCAGATTACTTGAACTCAAAAGGTATTTCTTTATTTTAAAAAGTCATATACAATGATCATGCTCACAAGTATGTTTAATTCATAACAGACCTTAGAAATCAACAAGCACTTATAACCTGCTAGGTGCAAGGTACCTTGCCAGGAGCTTCTCTATGTACAGTAATCCCTCCTGATTTTCCATTTTGCTGTAGTCTGAAAATATTATATGGAAAATTCCAGAAATAAATAATTGTTAAGTTTTAATACAGTACACCATTGTAACTGCTCTATTCCATTATGAGATAATCTCTTGTTGTACTTAAGTTATTATAGGTATGTATGTTCAGGGGGGAAAAAGCCCAGTACTGTATATAATATGCAAGTGGGGTTCAGTACTATCTGCAGCTTCGGGCATCCATGGAATATCTTGTAAGGCATCCCCTGCAGTTAAGGGGGGGGACTATTAAATGCCAATTCTTACACATCTTTGAAAGAAATGAAGTATTGGGACTTGGCTAAGGTCACTCGGCTCTGGTGTTATAGGGTCAGATCTGAACCTAGGTCTTCTGATGAAAAGCTCTACAACATTTCAACAGTGGTACCTCACTAGTTTTATGAGCAAAGTAACCACAAAGCATAACCAAACTTTCCTTGGGGAAATATGCTCATAATTCCAGCCTGGGCCGGATGAAAGGGAATCTTCTAAAGCCAGTGTTAGAGGGCTTTGTTATTGGGTCAAGTGTGGGTAAGAGGAGAATGGGAACTCTTGGGATGGCCATCATGGATGCTCCAAGGGCTGCTACTGCAGAGCTGTGGAAGCCAAGGGCCCCTGCCCGAGCCACCTCAGGGATACCTCTCAATCCTGAATTGTGTCCTGTTTCTCCCTTCCGTTTTGTCCTGTGAACACTGGCCTCCATTCTGTTACCACAGCAACCTAGTTCCTTCTAGACTGCATTTTCTGTTGTCTTTGCATTGCTGAACAGAATGCACTTTTGTTGCTTTCCTTCCTACTTTTGGGCCTCTAAAAGCCCTTCTTTTGTGATTTCCTTAGAATTTTAAGTAGCAATGGGAAGTCAAAAAGAGTAACACAATGCTCTACTATGCCAACTTTCTTGTTTTTAACATAGATATTTTAGGGGAATGGAAAGTCCTTGAATACAGAAGAGGGTGCATTTTCATTTACATGTTGGAGCAGTATTCAGATTTGGGCAGTTCTGTGCATTCGACACAGGGCGCAGGATAGAGGAAGATACAGTAAGGTGGGCTAGGGCCAACCACTCAAGAGACAAGTTTGAGGAAGAACAGAGGGTTCACCTTCAAACACCACTGTCATTTCCACTGAAACCCAGCACTCAGGCCCTATGTGGGAAAGGGGATGGGGAGGATTCCCAGGAAGTAGCAGGCTGGGGAAATGGCATGTCAAATTCACACTAGACTGCAGAGGGTGGGAAAAGGGACGTTTCTGTGGTCACTGGCATGGGAGGAGAAACAGCGGACATAGCTTATCGTCCAGAGAACACTGAGGTTCCAAGGCCAAAGAGAGGTTTCACGTTTCTCACCCTTTATACCAAGGGCCACTTATGCTAAAGGCAAGAAATTATAAGGGACAGGAGCAGTGTCTTAGGACTGTACATCAGGACTTTAGTACTTGCTGCATATCAGGCCATTTCTATTGACTTTCACTCATCTCTTTAATAGCTGATTGATTCTTCAAAGTGCACCAGAGGGTGGGGTGCAGCTCAGTGGCAGACGATGTACTGCATGTGTGATATGTGAGGCCTGGGTCCAATCCCCAGCACAAAAAAGAAAAAAAAACAACAAAGGAAAAGAAACTACGTGGTAAAACTAAAGTATTACTGAAACCCATGAGTCTTAACAAGCCTTTCATTTAAATCTAATGAAAAAATTAAAGACAACTACCGTAATTGGAATAAAGTTTTCTTTTTTTTTTTTTGGTACCAGGGATCGAACTCGGGTCCTTACGCTTGTGCAGCAGGTGGTGAAACCACTGAGCTAAATCCCCGGCCCTTGGAATAAAGTTTTCTTGGGGAAAGTGTTATTATTATTACATAATAAAAAGCAGCATTTCCTGAAACATCTCAGGGTGGGTGAAGCCAGGTTCGCTGAGGTTCTATTTACCTAGTAAATGTCCTCTTAGCCTCCTTGGTGGGACTTACCCAGGCTAATTAACCAGCAGCCCTTACAATCCCAAATGCTGTGCTCCTCCTGGGAGGAGGTAATTGAGCACTGCTTTTCTCAACTCTCTAAGACTGCTGTTTTCTGTTCTGCAATTATTGATTATCCGGAATCCAGAAGGGGAAAAAGGATTCCCGTGGCTTGCCTAATTGAGGGGGTGCTGATGACAATTTCCAGGGAGATGATACTTTGACAGCACCGCTTCCCCACAGCAGCTGTGTGACACATCTCCCTTTAGAACCACAGGTAGCTTGGCTGTGGGATTATCCCATCGTGGAGGGGAAGAGAAGCAGGCTTTTACTTTTTGCATCACTCCAGTCCGGGGAGTCGGAAGGCAGCTTCCTTAGGTAGTCCTTCAGAAGCATCTCATAGCGGGGAATCCGCTGAACGGGCTCCAGCATGTGGTGCTGCAGAGTCAGGCTCCCACAGATCTCCTGCTTCTGCAATGAGCAAGGTTTTAAAGAAACATTTCACAATCAGGCTGGCCAGTCTAAGGAGTGGCTATAACCAGAGCAATATAATAATAACCAGTGGCTATATACAGGACAATAGTTTACTACAATGTGTAGCTATGCACCAACGCCCCAGATATATTTGTGGTGCCATCTTCTAAAATGATGATTTCTGAACCCCAGCCCAATCTATGAAATCGTAACTTTTTGTGGAAGGAGCTAGAGAATAAGCACTTTTAAAAAAGGAAATCATTCTTATAACATAAAAGTTTGAAGATCACTAGTATAAGAATAGAAAGGAAAAAAATCAAGCAGAATTTTAAACAAGAAAATACCAGATTCCTGGCAGTCACTTCAGTTAATGACAACTAGGGTCTGTGAAGGCACACTGTTATAAAAATATTTTACAGATTTTCAAAAGATGCACTTATTTAATGCGGTTCACTAGGCCTAACTGTATTAAATGACTCTGGACTTAGCAGAAACTATTTCATAATAAGGTGTTCATAATGTCATTTCCTCTGAAAGAAAAGAAAGACTCCATGTGGAAGAATGACAAGATCTGGGCATCCTCTTATCTGACTGAAAATTTTAATTTTTTGTTAGGTCGGGCATTCTTCTTCATTAGAGATCAAACTCCATTTCTTAGACAAAATTAAGCCTATATCCCTTACTTTCAGTAAGCTGTTACCACAAGAAAGGAAGAACAAAACATGCTGGTGTTCATATCATACAAAGCAGACACCCCATTAAAATACTCGGCTCATACCAAGACCCAGGCACTGCGTTAAGACGTCGTGTCTGCGTTCACGGCACACAAGCAACGACAGGGTTCCCCAGGAAGGGACATTTAGCGAGCGCACTGAGGAGTGCAGGCTTTGGTAGAAAAAGAGTGGGGAAGACAGGGAGCAGTCCAGGAAGAGGCCTGAGAGAACAGGTACAGGGCAGAGTGCATGATGCGTGAGGGGGCTGTCTTGGTAAAAAGATAAGCATAAGGACCCTGGGGATGAGAAGAAGAAGTAAGATGAGCTAATAGTGCCAGGGACCAGCAGAATAACGCGGACTTAACCACTGTCTCTAAGCACAGGAGCGACACCGTCAGATCTGAGCTCTGCGAGCCCTCCTAAGGCAGTGTGGCTCCAGGAAGGGGAGGGCGAGCCAGCTTGGAAGCTGTTGGCAGACAGGGAAAAAACTAACAAGGGCCCGAAACTGGCATGGAAGCTGAGGAAGTAATACTATAGCTTTCTTTAATAAAATGCAAGATTCATTTTATAAATTTAATTACCTCATTTGATTTTCCCCAACAGATTTATGAAATCTGTTATCTTCAGGAAAATATTACTACTGTCAAAATTTTTACATGAAGAAACTACTTCTCAGAGAAATCAGAAGTGAAGGTCAAACGACCACACATGACAGAACAAGCTTGGCTCATGGGTTCCCTGTCTGCTGCTCTCCACAGCTCATGGTGTTTCTTTATTATATGGAGAAGACACATGTTGCAGAACTTGATAAAGCACCATCGCCACCATCCTCATCATTTAGTAGCTACTGTGCAGCAAGCAGTGTGCTGAGCACCTTGCACACATCATCTCCTGACAAATGAACACACCCAGAGAACGAGGAAGCCAGCTATGATGGCACAGCACACACCATCATATATAGTCCCCGCACTCTGGGAGGCTACGGCTGGACGATCACAAGATCAAGCCCTTGCCGGGGGAACTAAGTGACTCAGTAATACCCTGTTTAAAAATATAATGGGCTGGTGATGTAGCTCAGGATTAGAAGGCCCATGGGTTCAGTCCCCAGTACTGAGAAAGAGAAGCAGGGGGAGACAGATCAAAGCTAAAGCCGAATCACTGAGGTCTGGTTAGTGAGAGGATAATGGCGTTGTCTAATCTAATTCCATGCCAGAGTTGTCAGCTACTCTGAGGAAGGCATGCAAAGTCCGATGGAAAAATACTTGGGAGGAAACACAAATGGAACAGGCTCACTGTCTTGACAAGGTCTTCACACAGCACTAGCTGCTGTGAAGTGGGGGACAGAGGGCTGCAGACCCCCACCCAAGTGTCAGACAGGACAGCTGATGTCACTGCAGGACTGAAGACAGACGGGGAAGGCAAACCTCACATCGAGCCTGTGTCTCAGAGTCAACAGGTAGGGCAGGGACAACAGTCAGGAAGGAGCCAGTGTTCTGAAAGGTCAATGAGTGTTTAACCATGAGAGAGAAGAGATGCTGAAAGGGCCATGAAGGGATGGATGAGACTTGTGGCTGTGGCTGAGGAAGGGCACTGGCAAATCCTCCCTGTTAGAAGCAACCATCAAACTGGGCAAAACTGGCAAAACCACCCTTTCCGAATTTGGGGAATCCCAAAGCATGTATGCTTTAAAAACTTTAGATTGTGGGTGACAACAGTGAGAGGTGTGGTGCTCTGGCCTGGGGCTGGTCCCAGCTGCCCATCTCCATCAGTGAGGGTTCTTCCCAGTGCCACCGCAGGCTGTGATGCCCAGCAGCTCCCCACCGAGGTAAGGAAAGAAGCATTCACTGAGGAGGGGCGCACTGCACATGGCCCTTGGCCTGGGCATCAGCAGTGCTGTCTCAGAGCGGGCACCAGGAGGCCAGCTAGCCAGAAGTCACAGGTGTGGTGACTTTAATCATGTGGTTAAGCACACTCTTGGCTGAGCCGGCAAATAGTCACCTGCTGCCTGGGACTACATGTGGACGGGTGTTGTGAGAAGGCCCAGTGAACTTGAAAATGACCTGCTCTCTAAACGAGCACGGGGATCCACAGGCAGGCCCATCAGCACAGACAGAACTGCACTGGCTCTAAGTAGGACCTACTCTCCTGTCTATCACTGCCTGACTCCTAACAGCACAGGCATATGGGCCATCTCTAGAAAGGGAGGGTCATGAATACACGTGACTATTCAACACAATCTTTAGTGGAGACAGCAGCAATTGCACACCGGAGGGAGTTATTTTATAGACGTACTCTAAGCAAGTTAAAAAACAAAAACAAAAACAAAAAACCAGTAAGAGCCGGGTGTGATGTCACACCCTGGTTATCCTAGCACTCTAGAGGCTGAGGCAGGAGGATCACTGCAAGTATGAGGCCAGCCTGGACTACATAGTGAGACCCTAATCTAAACAAAACAAAACAATAAAAAACAGTAAGAAAAACACAATGTAATCACAACCACTTTCAGTGGGTGAAAATCAGAATCCAGAGTTGCTATGATAGGTTATCACAAATGTTTACTATTCAGCAAAAAATGATGATACACCCAAAGACATAGTAAAGTGTGACCTGGGCCAGGGATTTAGCTCAGTGGTTCCACTGCCTGCCTTGCAAGCACAAGGTGCCAAGTTCGATCCCCAGTACCAAAAAAAAAAAAAAAAAGTGTGGCCTATAATGGAGAGAAAAGGCAGATGACAGTTATCCAAGTGCCCTCAGTTGTAAGATGTGACAAAGACTTAAATGTAGTTATTATGAATATGTCCAAGGAAATGAATTATGCCTGAAGAAGTCAAGGAAAATGTAAGAACACTGAATATACAAATAGCAATTTTCAAGGGGAGATAGATATGAAAAGAGAAAAAACAGAAAAAACTGGAGTTGAAAAGTATAACTAAAATGAAAAACTCACTATAAGAGTTCAACAGCATATCTGAGATGACAGAATAATCGGGGAACTTAAAGATTAATAAAAATTATATACTTTGAAGAACGGAAAGAAGAAAAGATTAAAGAAAAGGAAACCATTTCATAAACATGTGGGATAACATAAAGAATATCAACATTTGGCCAGGGATTTAGCTCAGTGGTTCCAGCGCCTGCCTTGCAAGCACAAGGTCCTGAGTTCGATCCCCGGTACCAAAAAAGAATATCAACATTTGGTGGGAGTGCAGACTGGTGCAACCACTTTGGAAATCCGTATGGAGACACCTCAAAGAACTAGGACTAGAGGTCCCGTTTGACCCAGCTATTCCCCTACTGGGTATCTTCCCCAAAGAATTAAAAGAATCATACCACAGTGATATATGTGTACCCATGTTTATAGTGGCACAGTTTGTGACAGCTAAGGTTTGGAAACAGCCCAAGTGCCTATGAACTGGAAACTGGATAAAGAAGATGTGGTTTTTTTATAAAATGGAGTACTACTCAGCCGTAAAGAATGAGAAACTAGAGTTGTTTATAGCTAAATGGATGCATATTGAGGCGATACTCTTAAGTGAAATATATAGGACGCACATGTGTAAATACCAAATAGTATCTCTAGTGTGAGAAACTGAAAGTGTAAATAAGGATGAAAATGATTAAAACGAATAATTGATAATTTGAAACAGGAAAAGGTCCAAAGGTGGAGGAGTGGTGGGAAGGGAAGGGGAAAGGGAAGAAAGGAAAGGAAAAATTATGTGAATGAAAAAAAAAAAAAGGAAACAAAGTCTATGTAAATAGGGAAGGGTGGTGGGGGTGAAGGGCGCATAGGTAATGGGGAAAAAAAAATAAAAACTAAGATACATCATGTTCAGGTACAAACACCCAATGATAAATGTAAATGTACTGTATACCTAAAATGTACCAATTAATATATAAATTTTTTAAAAAAAGAATATCAACATTTATGCCATGTGAGTCACAAAAGAAAAGAGAAGGACAAAGTAAAGAAGTAATGGCCAAAACCAGCTCAAAATGATTTTAAAAAATAATGTACCAACTGCATGCAAGGAAGGTAAACATTATGTACTGCAAACATGTACAAAAATCAAAAAGGGGGGGAGGAAGGGGAGAGAAAGGGAAGAGAAAAGGAATGAAGATGTGTTCTGAACACACACCAACTCCCCACGAGGAATGTGAACATTGTGTACTGCACATGTAGCAATGAAACAACCTACAAATGGAAGAAGCTTAACCAACCCAAAGTAGAAAAAAATACAAAAAGATCCACACCTGTATACATCATATTCCACCTGCTGCAAGCCAATAACAAAGACAAAAATCTTGATAACAGCAAAAGAACAATGAATCATAACTCAGAGGAAAAGTAGCAATAAAATTAAAGTCTGACTTCTCATGTGAAACAATAGAGGAACAAAGAAGTACATAACACATTGAAAGTGCTGGGGTCAACCAGGAAGTCTATAGCCTGGGAAACTACCATTTAAATGTAAGGGTAAAACAAGATAGTCTTAGATAAAAATAATGACAGAATTCATTGCTAGCCAATTTAAGATTAAAAAACGATTTTTAAGGGCCAGGGATTTAGCTCAGTGGCACTGCGCCTGTCTCGCAAGCACAAGGTCCTGAGTTCGATCCCCTGTATTGCAAAAAACAAAAAACAAAAAACAAAAAACAAAAAATGATTTTTAAGGTAGTAAAAGTGCTTCAGAAATGACTAATATGTGTGTTAATATAGTTACAGATAATTCTTTCTCATGTCCTGAACTTTTAAAAATACATAAAATTATGAGACAATTATAGCATTATACTGTTATGTTTTAAACTATAAAGATGAAATACATGATGCTAATAGCACAGACCATTAAAGAGGGAATTGAGCTATATTGGAATGTGTCTATATTTCAGCAGAATTAAGGTAGTATAATCTGAAGTAGGTGGTGATAAATCAGTATGTATAATGTAATCTCAAGAGTAATCACCAGGAAAATAACCCCAGAAGAATTAAAATGGTGCCCTAAGAACTAGTTCTGTAACACAGAAGAAGGAAGTTAAAGAGAAATAAAATTCCAACCCCCAAAATATTATGTCATGTAGGGAATTCCCATTCAATATTTAAATTACATCAAAGAGTAAGTTACTAACAATGTTAGTTTTTGACTAGAGAATCTCTGGAATTTACTATGGTATTATGAAAATGTATCATCTGGGTTTGGTAAAAGTTAATAGAAAAGAAAATCAGGATATAGATATAAAGTGATAAAAAATTTTTTCCTCCTAATCCTCAGCTTGACAGCAATCATTTTTCATATTTATTTATATTCCTTCCAAGTTTCCACCTCAGAAAGAATGGGAGATATGCAGACTGTGAACTCGCTTTACAAATGTATGTAGATCCTAATAAAGCTGGCCTCTGCTGGTTGCAAAAGCAGAGAAAGAATTTACCACTAAGTATGTGGCATGTGCTCAATAAATATTTTAACTCTCCAAAGATGACCTTTGAATAACTCACAGCAAAATAGATTTCAGCTAGGTATCCAGACAAATCTCTAGATCTCAAGTTGTAGATCTAGAAGACCATATGATTGGTGTGGAAAAATTAATTCACAGCCCTGTCCTCTTACCTGAATGTCTTCAATCACTGATTTGAACTGGGGAATTCGTTCTGTCATGTTTTTAACCAATTCCATTGCGTTATCAAATCCCTTCACATATTCTCCATACATCTTAAGGAATGGTGCCAGTTTTTGAAGGATGTCTCCAATTCTAGGAGTGGTTTCCCTGTATTGAATATCAAAACAAGTCATTAAGATTTCTTATAGAATGAATGGCTTAACAAGTCAAACTGAAGTAAGTACTTTTTACGTTCACCCTGTGCTTTATCAGATCCACTTTGCTGTGAGACTGGAAGAGAATAAAGCACTTTAGAAAGGGAGTTTAGTAAAAAGAGATGCTTGGCATTCTCAAAGTCCAGGTTACCCTTATGTCTTGTCTTCCTCAGCCAAAAGAGAGCAGAGATGAAATTCTTTTCAGCTCAAGCTGAAAATGTACCACAGCTGCTATCAAACAGTGAACATAAAAATTTGGCACAGTGTCTAGCTCTAGCAGTGTGCAGTAGTATTTCAACTTCAACTGAAAGGCTAAAACAGCATCTGTACGACTGCCGTAGACTTATCATTTTTATCCTCTCCTCTTACCATTCTTGCATTCGTTTCTCCAGCTCTGGCAATAGGAATTTACTATGGAAGGCATGTATTGATGAAATGTTAGAAAAGATTTTATTCACCATCTCTGCTGGAAATGAGCCTCGGTTTGCTTCTTCCAATAGTTTACAATAAAATACCTGAGTAAAAGAATAAACCAAACATTACTTCAGATTGGTTGGTTAACCAACTAGCACTAAGTTAGGCCCACGGTGGGCTCTTAGTTATTTTTTGTTGAATAAATGGAGAAGTTAATGGTTCAAGAAACCAATCATTATTTGAAATAATGGGTATATGATTTGGGAGGACTATGTATAAAAATTAGGACACAGTGACTCTCACTTAAGGTATGTGCTTATCTGTGGATGTTAAGATAAAGAATATACCTTCTGCAGGGCCGGGGATTTAGCTCAATGGTTCCACTGCCTGCCTTGCAAGCGCAAGGACCCGAGTTCGATCCCCGGTACCAAAAAAAAAAAAAAAAAGAATATACCTTCTGTGCCAGATAATCTCCAATTAAAGTGAACAGGATTTACTCTTCTGATCTACAGCTAGAGCTAAGGAATATGAAAACATTTTCTATACACACAGTCACTGTGGTATTTTTTCACTTCTGTTTATGTTTTAGATGACTTCTATAGCAATTACTACATACTATTCTTCATTATAGTTTGTTGACGTAAATCTCATTTTTTCCATTAAAACTGTATGTACCATGGGAAAGGAAGATACATGATTTAGTTTCCACAATGGAACTGTTGGTCAGTGAGTGGACAAAAGTTCATTTTGACTATAGATGTTCACCTGCTTTTTAGTAAATAATAATACATGATAATAATGAGACACTGATTGGTAGGGAAGAAAGATCCCCTGCATACAGTAACAGGTACCTTAGAGACAACTAGAAACAGAAACACCCTGCAGTCTTAGCTCTACTTCACAAGGGCTAGTATCCCTCTCCACTGCAATTCTGCTAACTATAGGCAGAAGGAGGTCTGTTCCTTCATAATGGCCAGATGGTTGTTAATTTTCTAAATTTACCTCCACTGCGTTTTCTTAGGATGCAAAAAGAACACAAAATTATTTCCTTAGACATTCCAGAAGATAGGCTAGTACAGTAATTATGATCCTAAAAGTCTAAGAGCTCAGCAATAGTAGCCCAGTTAGTCTGGCAGAGAGAATGGGAGAGGGAGGAGGAGAGGAGGGCGGGCTTACTGAGAGAACACATTTTTTATGATGGGGCCACCACAAAGTCTAGGTCTATAATTCTCATGTGGAACAAAAGGCTCGAACTCCAGAGGCACTGGTTTTGTTTCATAGTGGAATTCCTTGGGAAATAAGCATTTGAGCTACGATCTCCCTATTTAAAGAACAGAAGCCCTCAAGTGCTCCTCCAGGCTCACCCTACGAGGCATGGTGCTCACTCCTGAGACCTCAGCTGAAGTGCCCAGGACCGCCCTTCCCTTGAAATTCCAGCGTTCCACTGCTGGAGAGGGACAATTCATGTTAACAACCAACATTCACACATGGCACCTTCTTTTTGAATAAGAAGAATCTGTATCAGTAGCCAGTCAACCAAGTGTCACTTTTTAATTGTTGAAACAGGTTTAAAAGCTTTTGTTTTCAGTCCCATTCTTTTTTTTTTGGTACTGGGGATCAAACTTGGGACCTTGCGCTTTTGAGGCAGGGGGCAGCACCACCGAGCTAAATCCCCAGCCAAAAGCTTTTGTTTTCAACAGTTATTCTTATAATACATTAAAAAATGTCTTGAAATCATCCTCAAATGACTGCCAAGATGATGCCAGTACAAAATATAATGAAGCCAGTACAAAATATGACAAAGTGATTATATGTGCAAAAAATATTCCCTTGTTTACCTTATGCCAGGCACTCCATTAAAACATTTCACATAAGGTGAAACAAATGAACTCAAAATCCTCTGAGTTAAAAATGGAGTACCAGTTTAAAATGGAGTACTACTCAGTCATAAAAAATGAGAAATTAGAGACATTTATAGCAAAATGGATGCACATTGAGGCGATGCTCTTACGTGAAATAAACAGGGCACATGTGTAAATACTGAATGGTTTCTCTAGTGTGAGAAACTGAAAGTGTAAATAAGGACTAAAAGGTATAATAGATAATGTGAAATAGGAAGAAAAGGGGCGAAGGGGAAGGGGAAGTGGGAGGGGTGGGGGAAAGGAAAGAAGGGAATGGAATTAATATGAGAAAATGAAAAAATGAAAACAAAGCCTTTGTAAATAGAGAGGGATGGAGGGGTTGAAGGGAAGGCAGGGGAAGGGGGAAAGATAAGAACTAAGAGAGACTATGTAAAGGTGCAAATTTCCAATGATGAATGTCATTATATTGTATACCTAAAATGTACCAATAAAATTAATAAAAAAAAGATCACTCACACAGTGCTGAATCGCAAACAAACAAGACAAACAGAATCAGCAATCTGTTCATGTCAGCATTAGCACTGCTGATATCTTATGCAGACTGTGACAGTAACATGCCCCACTCCTCCAGGGCCACAATAAGTGGCCAATAATCAGACTAATGTCTAACACTGTGGAACACAGATTAAGGCATCTGTGACTTGTACAGGGAGAAAACTCTTAAGAATTACAAAATGTTTATATCAAGTGAGTTCACCAATGTAGCTGAAAAGTGCTAAAGTGGCCTTGAGCAAAAAGCTCTTATTCATCAAAAAACAGCCTTGTCTTGCAGTTTCTAAACGGTCTAAATTACTGGGTTAAAATAATATACAATGCCAATTCATCAAATGATTCTGAGGGAAGACATTACCTGATCTAAGAGGTCAAGTCGGTTGACGTAAGCTCTTTCTGTGAGCAAAAGTTCATTGGCTATTTTGTGAAGTTTTTGCTCATTTGTTTCCTATGAATAGAACAGAAATCCACACATTAGAAATGGAATTTGGACATTATTTCTCAAGCAATAAACACCTCACCAAGTAGCCTGATCAAAGCTGATTTCTTACATTTCTCAGGTACTCAACTCTTTTCAGCCATCAGGGAACATCTGCAAACTAAACAATCAATTAGATTTGAAATGCAGTTTAATTCTGCAGCAGTGAACACTACCTTGTCCTCAAAACATCTTTTCTCCTCAGTTCCTGGCACTATTTTTACCTACCTCTCTCAGGCTCTCACCACTCTCTCAAACATCTGGACCGATTCTGAGCTCTATGCATACCACACTTTGCCTTTTCAAGGCACATTTTACGAAATATTTCACATATTATAGTAAGTAGTAAAACAAATCCCCCATAGGCCCAGCACTGAGACCCAACTGTCCACACATTGTTTATCCTGCTTCACCTATGCATCCTATCACCTCTCCATCTACATTATTTTCAATTATATCTCACTTTTTAATTTTCACAGTACATACTTAACCCTTAAATATATTTGTATGGCCTTACTAGTTTTATGATGACAGGGACATTTTTTCCTTATTAGCTGCTCTAGTTCCTGTGTCTACTACAATGCTTCCATGAAAACACTGGAATTCAATACAATTATTGTTGAATAAATGAATGGTATTGTTAAATAAATGGAGAGTATTACAAACTATTGCTGAGCATTCATTACTACTTTGACATGGTGTTAAGCTAAGACCAAATTCTTCCTTTTGGAGAATTTCTACCTCAACACCAAACCCCAAACATTCCCATCTTGGTAACGGAAGCATCTCTTTCCAGTTCACCTGCTTTGGAAGCCTGACCCTTGGCCCCCTCCCGTGAAATCCAGCCAGCTCCCAGGCCCCGCTGCTCAAGATGGTCTGTCTTAGCCATCATCCTTCAAGTTCTCATCACTGGCATCTGTTCTGCACACCAAATGTCAAGCTCGGGTCAATCAAGGTTTCCAAATGATCTGATTCCAACTTGTTGGGGGTCCACCCAGCCTTGCACCTGGCTGTTTGAGGGATCTTTCAAAACCTTCCTCGGTACACGTGATCCTACTTCCCACAGAAAGGTGGGCTCCAGCAGTCCTCCTCTCATTTAGAGAAACACCCAGACCTCCACTCACTTCCTCAAACTTCTCTCTCACTGTATGTCTAAAAGCATCTTTCTCTCCAAACACACCAGTCCAATAGGTCTTTCATCATTACCCAAACATATTCTTGGCCATCTCCAGGTCTTCCTTCTTTCCATCCTCTCAGTCTCAGCCTGGTAAATGCTCCTGCTATATTTCTTTAACTGTGTTAAACTTGCTCTTCTTTTGACCACCTGCTGAATTTCCATTTCTTGTCTATGGAGGCTTCTTCAAGTATTTAAACCCCTTGGGCTTAGGTTGTAATAGAATGCATTTTATTTCTTTCCTTTCCTTATTCTTTTTTTTTTTTTTTTTTTTTTTGAGACAAGGTCTCACTATGTAGTCCAGGCTGGCTTCCAACTCTCAGCAATCCTGCTGCCTCAGCCTCCCAAGTGCTGGGACTGCAGATGTGCACCACCATACCTGGCTTATTTTCTGGAAGAGTCACAGAAAGAGACTTCTCTGTGGGCTCTACGTGAATGAGGGTCATGTACACATAAGTCCTATAAACAGCCATCCCATGACCAGAGGGAGGAAGCCAAAAGTTTTGTCATTGATTTTGTCTGGCTAATTGTTATTTGTGGCTGGAAGCATCCTCATTGATATAGAAAACTCAAATACAATGATATATGTGCAGTAAAATCCAGTTAAAAACTTTCAAGTAACTTTTAAGCAATTAATACTTAGAGGAGGAAAAGATAAAAGTACTTAGTGAAATAAAAATGTGACTTCTGAACTGTAATAAGTGGACTCAAATGCATAGTAAAAACATGAACCCTATCAACATTTCAGGGGAACAGATACACTATCCCTCATACTCACAAGAAATATTCTGCTGCCTCAACATGACAAAGTCTTTTTTTAAAAGCCTGATTTACCAAGACATAATTTACAAACAGTAAAATTTCCAGTTTTAGGAATTTTGACATAGGCATACAATCATATAACCAGTGCCACAATGAAGATACAGAACATTCCCAACAAGCCTAAATGCTTCTTTTGCCTTCTGTTAACAACCTTCCCTCCACTTCCAGGCTCCCCATACCAGCTAACCCTGAGCTGTCCCTGTCCAGAGTGTCTGGTAAATGGAATCACAGTGACTGGGTCTTCTGCAACTTCTGTCACTTAGCAAGATGCATCTGAGACACATCTGTGTTGCTTTTTGTAGCGGTACTTTGGTCTTTTTCTTTTTTTTTTGGTACCAGGGATCGAACTCGGGTCCTTGCACTTGCGAGGCAGGCGGTGGAACCACTGAGCTAAATCCCCAGCCCGATACTTTGGTCTTTTAAAGCCCTCAGTTTTAGTCTAATAGCGCTGACATCTGCTTCTAGTTCTGATAATATCTTTAAAGAAAGAAATCCAGCAGAACTTGTGCCTTGATAAAAGAACTCTTATGAGCCAGAAAATATGTTAACCAACACATTATTCCATCTATTACGGCTACACAATGAAGTTCCCAGAGGTTTTCCTTTCCACAATCCTACAGGATCTCAAATAGGAAGTGTATAAGAAACAATCTTTTGCTGACTATAAAGCATATGTTAGCTGAACTTGGCAAATTGTGGATATCCTGGTCCTATTTTGCAAAATCTGAGAGATGACAGCTGTTATTAGTAAAAGCTGTGCCCCTTCCACACAGATGGTCTAATACACACATTAGGTGCCTGACCTTGCCAGCGCCAAAGCAAAGTTAGCAAAAATAACTTTGCTGACATACACTTTAATCACTCACTCACACAGAGGTCTGCAGAAAAGTTACAAGGGATTTTCGCAGCAGAGATGAGGAAATCATGAATTCATGGAGCCTTGCTTTAGATTAATCAGAACAAAATCACCATAATAACAGCTAACTCTTATTCACTGACCACTTGTGTGCCAGACACTGTATTTTACATAAACTGTCTAATCTTTAGAGTTCTATAGCCATTTTTATTAATATTTTACAGGCAACACCACACACACACACACACACACACACACACACACACACACACACAATCAAATCCCGAGGCTTAAAGAAGCCCTGTAGTTTACTCAAGGTCACAGACTGTCAAAAGCGTCTGTGTCAGATTCCAGCCATACACCTGAGTCCACAATTCTAAGTGACTGCTCAGAATGCAGTTTGACTCTCACCGTTCTTTGCAACAAAAAACAAGACTGCGAGGCGTGCCTGGGAGGAGACAGACTGTCCAGAGGCAAACTATCTGCTTACCAAATCCACCCAGAAGTGGGATGTGGGAATTACCATGCATTTTAATTTATATTTTATTCTTCAACATAAATTTCATTTAAGGCAGAGCGTTTAGGATTTTAGCAATAATTATCAGGCTACAAAATTGGGCCTTTTTAATGTAAAAATTAATATAATGGCTTTCAACTTTTACAACATAGTTACCGAAGTGCACCTATGAGTACATTTATGGAGACACAATTATATATTTATATAAATATATATATATATTTGGGGGGAGCTATAGTCCATGGCTCAGTACTCCCTCCCCAAGGCACATAGTAGAAACTAGAATTTCTCTCCCCACCCTGGGCCACTGAACCCTAATCTGCCCCACTCTGTCTTGGAGCTGGCCACGTAGAAATGCTCTGACCTATCTGACCTAACAGTGGGCCTCAGACCCTGGTGATTCTACAGGGGCCTTCCCCACACCCGGGGCAGAGACCAAGAAGACCCTGATGGGAAGGCCTTGTGGGCTTCCTGTCTAGTCTCCTAGCACCCTTGCCAGTGCAAGGAAGTCTCCATAAAGCCCAAAGGACAGGATTCAGAAAGTTCCTCCGAGGTGAGCACGTGGAGCTTCTTGGCTGCACTGCAGCTTGGGGCCCCTGAAGCTCCACACCTCCACCCTTCGCCTGTGCCTCTCCGTATCCTTCGAAAGACTTTAAAGCAGAGACTGCAAGTAACTAAAGCACATCAGTCATGCCTAGGGAGGGGCTGTGCTGCCCTGATGTATAGCCTGCAGGCAGCTCACAGGTGTACCACCTGGGGCCGTGACTGGCAGTGGGCAGGGCAGCCTCACTGTAGCCTCACCCACAGGGTCTGACGCTGTTGCCTGGTAGAATTCACTGAAATCAGTGAGAAGGCTCCCAGAGCTGGCATCCCAGCCACAGAACTGCTGGTGGGGAGAAATCTTCGCTCATTTGGGGAACACATAAGTAACCTATGCTGGGTAGGAGAAACTGATCTAGCATTGGTTTTTCTTTCCGCATCATCAGGCTCTGGTAGATTTATGTATCAAGGATAAAGTAGCATTTCAAATGCTGCGACAAGGGGGCGGTACTCAATTTTTTAAAATAGTAGAGTAAACACTGTTTCTTAATATTTGCCACTTCAAAATTATATAACACCTACTTTATGCTTAGCGCTTTACTAAGAAGTAATTTATTCTTGTGATCCACTGAGAAACAGTAATGTTTATAAAACAGTAACAACCTCATTTTCTTCTATTACAACCTAATAGGGCTGACATTTCATATAAATAATTATGAATTAGAAATAATTTATAATTTTTAGTAAACTATATTTTTAAAAATCCTACTTTTTTGTGTACCTGGAATCAAACTCAAGACCTTGCACTTGCCAGGCAGGCTTGGCGTCACTGAGCTACATCCCTGGCCTGAAATATCCTACTTTTGAATTTCTCTTTAAAAGGATTTTTTTTTCACTTGTAAATTCACAATACTATATTCATATATTGAAAACTGCCTCAGGGTTTTGCCTCAAAACAGAAATACATTATGTATATCTAAACTACCAGAATTGAAAAAGATTAATTCCTCTTTTAACTGAATATACCATAGTAATTTCCCCTTGCTGCTCAATGCCCCCTG